GGCTAGGTAACATCTTCAGTGCTAGTTGTTATCTTCAGTGAAGATGTTACCTAGCCGGGTAATGAAATGTTTGCAAGAAAACAACCAAGCTCAGAGAACCCCAAGGACTCTATAGATCTGATGTGTTTAATGTGCAATTTGTTTTTTAAATGAAAGCAATGTCAGCTAGAGGGGGGAATTGACCATTAGATGGAAGGTGAATTAATCTTTTCCTTCCGTGTGCTGATATTTGTGAAGAAAAGTCTTTCTTTGAAGGCATTATTTGAGGGGGAAGGGGCTTTATTTATTTATTTAATTTCTATAGCCACCCATCTCAACCAACCGACTCTGGGCAGCAAACAATTCTAATACAATAAAAACAATTAAAAGCAATACAAAAATAAATATATACAGCAGCTGAGAAAATCATCATAATCATTATCAATATAGCCAAGAGACAGGGCCCTTAATACATTTAGGGCCCCATTTTTGGCCTGCTTTTTATCGAAAGTAATCCCAAAGCAAGGTACAATAAATCGACCCAACAAAAACCTTCTGTTTAATGTTCTTTCTATTAAAAAGAAGAATAAACATACATTTAACATTAGCTCTAGTTTAGGTTCCCTGGTACCTAAACTTTTTTTTGGGTTTCTGGTCATGAATAAAGAAGCAATACAGCAATAATACAGAAGGTTTTATTGTCTTATGGCTGGACAAGAAAGAACTTGTAGGACTGTGCAGATCTTCAAAGGGACACGTTCCTTTGATGGAGGCAGGGGCAAGCATGGGAGGGGGTCAAAATCTTCAAGAGGTGAGGCATGACATCACAGTTAAAGCTCCGCCTTTTTAGTACAAAAGGGGAGGGGCTTCCATCTCAATAGTATGCTTGGATCTTGCAGATCTTGATTCTTTCCTCCCTCCCCCACAACATCCCTGATGGAGGCCCAAGCAAAGCCTCAACCAAAGCAGCTTTGCAAAACAACATGGCCCTCTCACTTCTGAGCACAGGGAGGGGGAATATAGCACCCCCAGTGCCCACCATCAAATAGCCAAAGGATCTTCTTCAATTCTGCAGCCTTCAGTAAGGTGCCAAATTGAGGGAGAAGCGATGGTTCAGCTTCGCTCTGCTTAATTTAACCTGATTGTGAGATGCTGTACATCAGTCTGACAGAAATCCAACAGGATGTCAAGCTCAGGAGTCCTGAGTCCCTTCCTGCAAAGTCAACACAGATCCTATTACATCAAGGGAGATTCAACAAATGAGCTGATTTCACACACTGCACCAAGCTGTGATGGGATTTTCTCAGTTTTGGCTTAATGCATTATGTGAGTCCAAATATTGTTTGTAGATCATGTATTATGGCTTAGCAGAGCATTATAGGATCAGGGAATGAAGGTTTGGGAGGTATAATAGTAATCAGCTAGTCTACCCTCTACCACACCCACTGCCCAATGCAGGAATCCAGTTTTCTGAAAGATGGACATCTGGCCTCTGTTCAAACACTATCACCAAAAGGGAGGCCACTTCCTCTCAAAGTGGTCTTTTCCACTGCTGAAGAGCTCTTACTGTTATGAAATGTTTCCTGGTGTTCAACTGGAATCTACTTCCTTGTAATTTAAACCCATTGTTTCTGTCCTGTCTTCTGGGACAACTTTGAATCATTCTGTCCCCAGGTCTACAGATTCTTCAGATTCTGTCATGTCTTACTGCAGTCTTTTCTTCTCCAAGCTAAAATACCCAACAGCTCCAACTATTCTCCATTTTTCCTTTAAGACCCTTTTTATCTTGATTGTTCTACCCTGAACACACTCCAGTTACACAACACCGTTTCTAAAATGTGATGTTCCAAACTGGATGCAATATTCTAGGTGTGTGTGGCAAATTGCTTGTTGTATGAGCCCAAATAACTGTGAGCAATTCAACAAATCATAGTTAAACAAAGCATACATGATCCCTGCCCTAATATTCAACTATTTCTTTCAGGCCTTTCCTGCCCCCGCAATTCTCATTATGAACTCTGTGGAAATGGCTGCCCTGTTACTTGTCATGGCCTCTCAGCTCCTGATGGATGTGAGATATCCTGCAAAGAAGGTTGTTACTGCAATGTTGGGTTTGTCCTGAGTGGAGATCAGTGTGTCCCAATAGGGGACTGTGGTTGTCTGTACCAAGGCAGGTATTATAAAAAGGGTGATGAATTTTACCCCAGTGCCTCTTGCCAAGACAAATGTCGCTGTGGAGAAAATGGTGCTGTGGAATGTCGGAAAGTCTTCTGTGGGGTTCAGCAGCAATGCAAGATTGAGAACGGGAAGCAAGGTTGCCACCCTCTTGGCTGTGGCAAATGCAGTATGACTGGTGGAAGCCACTATCTCACTTTGGATGGAGAGACCTTCAACTTCCTGGGGTCTTGTTCTTACACTTTGGTCAAAGTCTGTGGCAGGGATCCTGAACTTGTCCATTTCTCTGTGGTGGTAGAGAACGAGCGCTCTGGGGAAGGCAAAGTTGTGCCAAAAATGATTGTCATCACTGTTCGAGGTTATGTTGTCAGACTTGTGAGAGGAATGACCTGGCAAGTTCTGGTAGGTCCTCTTTTCTGTCCATTTTGCAATGAAATCAGCAGTGCATTTCTTCCTGTTCTCTCCCTGGTCTAAAGAATCAGTAATGAATCCAAGAAAGGTTGAGTGAGAAAGCTTGTATGAAACATTCAGTGGTAAGGTTGTCCAGGCACTCTCAAATATGGAGCCAAAGTTCCCTCCTAACTTCTAAAGATATATTTATCCAGCAGCAATAGCAGCACCTTGTGGTTCTAGCAATTTCAATTTCCTGTAGTGTCACATAATGATCTTGCTGCCTTTATTTCTAAAGAGGATTCCCATGCCATTCATCATCAATGGATGCTGATTTCAGCTGTTCACGTAGCCCATTTATCAGATTTCAACACTTGCAGATGAGGAGGGTAAGGGTAACCTATAGTCTGTCTCCCCCTTCTGTTGATTTCTCTATTTGTATATTTGCTGTTTCATGGAGAGAGGAAGCACGTCGTGCTTCTCAGAATCAGAGATTCCAAGGTGATTTCCATGCGAGAGATTTATAGCATCTTCTAAAGCCATCCAACCTTTGCTGTGCCCAAATAGCAGTAATGTGGACAGGCTTTATATCACTTCAGCCATGGCTGAACGATGCTATGAAGACGCTATAAATGAATTGTGCAGAAATGACCCAAGTTGTATGAAAGAGTGTAAACCAGAGCTGGGTACAAATGGCCTTTCTAAATTCTGCAAACTAACTTGAGGACAGCAGTTATTAGGGAGACAAATTCTTAAAGTTTCTCCAGGGTGAGATTTCCCCTTTGTGATGAAAATTGCACTGCTAGTGAAAAACCCCAAATGAGAGAAGTTCCCTCATAATGCCTTTCTTTGGAATTTAAACATTAGGGTGCCGGAGAGAGGATTATGCAGCGAAGGGCAAAAGATTCACACACGTGCCTGGGCTACCTCATAGCAAATTAAACACAAGAATACCGTACTTCACCTATCACAGTTTCAGTGAAATACTCTTCTCCTCTGGGAAAAAAGTCTAAAGCCAATTCTCTTTCACTGAACAAGATTAGAACTTTAAGGAAAAAAATCAGGTTATTTTTCTCAGGCTGACACTAATGAAAACAGGTCATTTGCTCTTTTTGGCTATTTTAGTTGTGCTTTTCTTCCCCCTTGGAACATGTGAAGGTGAGTTG